CCATGAATTGAGCAGAAAACTACAAACTACACGTGTATTTTAAATAATTATTCGATTGTAATCAAAAGAAATGGTTTTTAAACCAATTCGATGCTTTTTTTTATATAAAATGCTAGCAATATTTATAGAACTTTAACCAAATCGTTTAAAGTAATTAGATCTGTCTTCGTAGCTACAGTTTTGCTAAGAAGTTAGTGGCGTCAAAATTAATTTCTATTCATTTCTTTATGAGTAAAAAAAGGGTAAAAAAAGAAATTCATGTAAAAGTATGAAATATTTACGACCCTTATTTCGCCATGTGGTTTGGCTGCAAAATTGACTGCCCAAAACCGTTCCTAACAATGACGGAATCCCTTCGAATTCAGGCTATGGCTTAGTTATTAAGATTCACTTATTGGTGCATAATTTTATTTCATTAGTTTTTTTTAATTATTTATAAATAACTTAAATTATTTTAATAGTGTTTATTATTCTTAAAAATTTAGAACGCTCGATATCACAGTAATAATATTGTTAAAACCTTTCTGCGTCGAAAGCTATTCAAAATTAAGAAAGCGGAGTAAGAGAGACAGCAATACCCTAGTAGTCATCACTTCTGGGTAATTTTCATAAAAAGACATTTCTTCCAAATATAGCTTAGGTGATTTGTTTGTACTAAAAATTTATAATATCAATTTCTTATGGGCTAAGTTTAAATAGTTATTCAGTAGATTTCTTGTTTGATGTTCCATTACTTAGAAAGAGCATACAAGCGTTATAACTACCTTAGGGCCGTGCAATAAGACTCACATTTGCATAATGATGTATTTGAAATCCTTTTAATTTAGGAAGGTCTTGCTCAACTGATTTCTGTACGCATGACTGCAACAAGAAATTATTAGCTCTTTCATATAGCCGTGTAAAATTGAAGATGGTATTTGTCTACCAATTTTGTTTTACATTTACTTTGTTGACTTCTAAATTAAAAGCAAATTATTAATTTAATAAACCAAGACCTTCTCGACATAAAATTAAAGTTTCTATTTTCCATTAAAATTTTAAGTAGTGTAATAAGAATACAGGATTGAATAGGCCGATCTTTACATTAAAAAAAACGTTTCGTTAAAATTCATTGGCGTAAAACTTCTGCACCAAACATCTCCTATATATTAATAGCTACTGGTGTGTGTCTATAGAATTCAATAGCAAAATATAATGTAAATAGATTAAAAGTTATCTGATTTACAGCAAGAATACCCGACTCATAAGATTAGAGTCGTTAGTTTTAAAGAAAGCGCAAGTATTGTGTGTCTGTGCTGTGCGTGTGCGCGCGCGCAAATATTTTGTTTATTCTTTTAGTCAAGATTTTTTAATGAATGTTAATCTTGTGAAAATACTATAGTATTTTATGTTGTTATCTACAGCTAGATTAAGATTGTCCTCTCAGCATTCTCACCAATAGATACAATTGATCCAAAATGTTCCAACTGTCCATCACATTCCACGATTCAGACTGCCTGTTGTTGTAATGATAAATGTTTAAAATATTAATACTTTAAATCTCCGATATTTTTGTACAGTGGCTGCGTGATTACTGCAATATTCGTGTTGTAAATAAAATATTATGTAAAAATATGTGTGTGATGTGTTTTATTGAAATTCGTTTTCTACCCTTTAATTTATCTACAATGACTATAATAATATAAAGAGGAAAAGGACAATGCAAGTGAATGGGCCCAAAAAATAAAATATGTTGTGCAGATTTGGGACATAGACTACGATGTAGATCTAATAAACACCTTTAATTTTTGTTATGGCGTCCACAAAATTGGCCCTAGCAAAAAAAAGTTATAATATGCTGAAGTATTAATTCTGCTGTAATGAAATATATTATTTTACATCTAAAACCCCTTTTTGAATCTAAGCTTAAACCATACGTTGCCTCGACGGGCGACTCGTCAGACATCAGGCAACCCATATTAGTATTGTCATTGCTGTTCTCTTTCTCTTATCTATTTTTCATCATTGGATGTTTCATTCGTACACGACGGCCGCTCTGACCCTTTTTTACCTGGCGTGTGGTGTTGCCTGATGTCTGACGAGTCGCACGTCGAGGCAACGTATGATTTTAGCTTAGATACAAAAAGGGGTTTTAGACGTAAAATAATATATTTCATTCCAGCAGAATTAATACTTCAGCATATTATAACTTTTTTGCTGGGGCCAATTTTGTCGACGCCATAACAAAAGTTAAAGGTGTTTATTAGATCTACATCGTAGTCTATGTCCCAAATCTGCACAGCATATTTGTTTCTTAGGTTTTCACGCACATCACTCATTAAATAAAACTAGTTTAAACGGGATAATGCACGAAACTTTATTTATTTATTGACGTTTCGTAGCCTTTCCAGGCTTCGTCGTCAGAATAAAACTTGTTTAATTTGTCGAGCTACCTTCGAAAGACTTTTATTGAGCGTTTGGTTATTTCATCGTTCGATTTTTAAGTTTTATTGTCTATGTATGAATTTATTATTTAATTTACTTAATAAAGTATTTTATTTAAAATTCTTGTTTGTAATTTTGCGTTTATTTATTTGACCCTAACTACCGTAAACTACCACCGGTTCCAAAATTGGGAGACCTTCCTGAGAAGAACCGGCGAAACAAACTCAAGAGAGGCTTTCTATCTCCTTCTTATGTTAAATTATGCAAACAAAAAGAACTAATAGTATCTGATGGTCTTGCAGTATGTGCTCGGGGTTGGGATTTTTTCTCCTGTATAATAGGTTCCCAAGCTGGTGGTATATACCAACCATCTTCCCTATTGAAATTTGGATATTTTTTAATCTCAATAGCCTCGCGCATCATTCGAGGAACGAAACGCCGCTCAGCTGCAAGGATCTGTGGTCTATCAAATCTAATGTAGTGGTTAGGTCCCCCTAATGCATGTTCACACACTGCAGATTTATTTTCGCGCCTATGTTTCATATCTGCGATATGTTCTTTTACGCGAGTCCCTATACTTCTCTTTGTTTGACCGATGTAGGAGAGCCCACAGTCGCATTCAAGTTTGTAGACACCAGCAACTTGAAAGGGTATATTGCACTTGACCGGTCGTAGGAACTGGTTGATCTTCTTTGGCGGCTTGAAGTATGTATTGATTGAAGCACGCTTCAGAATCCTCCCAATCTTGTCAGTGACTCCTTTCATGTAAGGTAGTATAGCAGGTTGTCGGTCGACTGTGCTAGGTTTGGCGCGACTGTGACGGCGACGTGGTACATTCAGGTTATTATCCTTCAGTACTTGCTCGACATGCTGAAGTTCAGCTGCCAGATGTTGTTCGTCACAGACACCCCGTGCTCTCTGAAACAAAGAGTTTCCTACGGCAGTTAATTGTTTCGGGTGATGGTGTGAGTCACCATTGAGGTACCTATCAGTATGAGTCACTTTACGATACACAGTATGGCTTAAACTTTGGTCAGGATTCCTAATTAATAAAATATCTAGAAAAGCTAGTTTACTATCTGCCTCTAACTCCATAGTGAATAGGATGTTGGGGTGTATAGAGTTAAGGTAATTTAAAAAGGCAGTAATTTGATCTGTTGGGAGGATTGTGAAAGTATCATCTACGTACCGCTTATATAGCCTGGGTGTGACAGGTGCTACGCTGAGAGCCCTCTTCTCGAAGTCTTCCATGAAAATGTCGGCGACAACAGGTGAGACAGGGGAACCCATTGCCACACCCTCCATTTGTACATAGAAGTCATCCCCCCATAACAGGTAGCCAGATGTAAGGCAATGCTCCAGTAATACTGCATATTCTATAGGCATATTATTTTCAAGTATCTTCTTCTTAGTGATTTCGCATTTGGTATGAAATAACCAAACGCTCAATAAAAGTCTTTCGAAGGTAGCTCGACAAATTAAACAAAAGTTTTATTCTGACTGCACAGCATATATTTTTTTTGGGCCCAAAGACAAAGGCAAGATTTGCATGGTCCTTTGTATGTAACGAATTGGCTCAAAAAGTACTGGACCGATTTTAAAAATTATTTCACTATATGAATGCTACATAATCACTGATTAATATAGGCTATAGTGTATTTTCAAAAAAGATTAATCTAACCCAACGTGTGTAAAAATAGCCTTATATCGCGTACGCAGCGGAAGTCATTGACAATAGAGCAAAGTGATGTTCTAAAGTTTTATAGAGGATACCAAAAAAGTCCGCGATACCATATGTCTAACTCTTACAGTTAATATGGACATAGGCTATCGTAGACTTTTTTACAGAACTTTCCGTCATACAAAATTTTTGTGTAAATTTAACGGTTTACCCCGCACACGCAACGGAATCTCACAAATGGAATATTTTTACCCGTTTTTGCTACTTTTTTCATCTATCCTCCGCTGCTTCTGGTCGTAGCCTGGTAATATATAGCCTATAGCCTTCCTCGATAAATGCACTGTCCAAAACGACTTTTTCAAATCGGAACATCAGAGCAATGTTGCATTCGGTACAACGGGTCCTAAACTACGCAACGATTTTTTTACTTGGAATGGAAGGTTTATAATAATTATGAAGAAAGTCATTGTGTATAATACAAAAACTATAGTGTACACTACAGCTCTACACCGAAGCAAAGCGAGGGCGGGCCACTAGTCTACAATTTTTTTTTTAAACACCAATTAGCCTAGCCTCAAAGTAAGGACTATAAGGCTTGTGTTATGGGATGCTAGAGTAACGGATAGAATACATATACTGTACATATATATGTATATTTATATAGAAATAGATATTAAACATCCATGACTGGAGTACAAATGCCCGTATTCATCACACAAACATCTGCCCCCACCGGGATTCGAACCCGGGACCTCTCGAGTCGGCGACACCTGAGACCCGGCGTACAAACCACTCGGCCATCGTCCTGTGATTGACTGTTCTGTGAAATTTTGACTCGCACTAGCCAGGTTTTGGATAAATTATTTTAATAGGATATAAATAAAATGCAACATACTTACGTATAGAAGATTTTGATATATTTCAGTAAAATTGGCACATGGCATTAGTTTATCACAAGAGTTCACATCAATGATAACATCGACACAGCAGTCGTTTTTCAATAATCTAAAAATTACGTATAATACACAAACAAATATTCAATTAAAATTATATTAACAATTTTCTTGACACATTAATAATATGGGTTTCTCATAGACCTTAGTGAAGAAGGCTTACCTAAATATTAAAATCTTTCTATATAACTCTTACCAATATACAAAACACATGATTCCTTACAGGATGTGCGAATGGGACAGAATATTTTGAGTCGCCATTTTAGATTCGTTTTTTAATTGCTTCGAGTAATGCAAAATCTTACATTATTGTGTATATATTATTGTGAAGAGCGAACACGTGTCTAGACAACCCGTACGAACAGCCACGATGTTTGAAGGTGTGTCAATTTTAATAATATGTAATTATAAACCAGTTTCAACATGCTAAAACTCGGCTTAATGTTCGTAAAATATTACTGTACCCCTAGCACGAACCAATATCGAATTCGTATCGTTTGCGAGTTCGAAATGTCATTGTCAAATGTGTACTGATTTTTAGTTCTGCTTGCGTCTTTTGTGGCGCTGCTGTTCAAGTTTCCATACAAAATTTGACAATGACAGTTCGTGCTAAGGGTGTTGTCATATTTAAGTTCCTTGATCCTACTGATTACCCACACACGTGTTTCTATTGGGAGCCAAAACTGACCTGACTATTTCACCTAAAACCTACAATTTTGAGAATATTAACAAAATGTTATACATACTATTAATATTCCTGTTAATCCCTTATCTTAAATAAACGCGTGCTAGAAATCCATGTCCGTAGTACAAATAACAGTAAATCATGTTACGACAAATTATAAAAAGTTTCAACTTTCTTTCCATAGGCGTAAAGTTGAAAACCCATGCACAAATTTGATCATTTTAGCATCACCGGATGTAGTCTGTGCGGTAAGAGAATGGGCGTGGCGAAAAACGGAACTAACATAAAATTTTTATTTGACAATCAAACCCAGCAATCTGTAAAACATCAAAGTTTTGTATTGATACGGATTTGTTTGTTGTTGTGATTTCTTGCGGTTTTTTGTATTTAATTGTCTAAAAGGGGTAAAACCTTACAAATACTGTAGAAAAGCACTACAGCGCCCTCCAATCTAAATCCCATTCTCTTTCCGCACAGACTCTATCTACTGTTAACTGTACTGAACATAGGTGTGGTTTCAAACTCTCTCGATACCCAAGACACTAACAATACATTCTGTAGAAATGCTTACACACTATCATTTTTCAATATTTTATATTAGTGAATACAACATAAAAACATAAAATAGCCATAAACAGTTTAATTATATATTTTGAGATAAAAACAAACAGCTTATTATATTACTCCAGAGACATATCGACGCCGACGGGGCGGTCCTAAGCTCTAGTTGTAGATAGCGCTGCTGACAGACCGACAGGACAAAGAATATTTATGAAGTATCAAATCAATTACTGCTTTGGCTTACAGAAACTTAATATTACCTCTTCGTTGTTTACATAAAAAGACGATAAACTGTAGAGTCTGTGCGGAAAGAGAATGGGCGTGGCGAAAAACGGAACTAACATTAAGATTTTTATTTGGCAATCAAACCCAGCAATCTGCAAAACGTCAAAGTTTTGTGTTGATACGGATTCGTTTGTTGTGATTCCTTGCGGTTTTTTGTATTTAATCACATCTAAAAGGGGTAAAACCTTACAACTACGATAGAAAAACACTACAGCGCCCTCCAATCTAAATCCCATTCTCTTTCTGCACAGACTCGTCGCATAAGCGTCAGTGGCGCCATCTATTAACAAATATATGTGACCACCTACCAACATAAAACATGTAAGAAACTCCGGCATTCTACATGGTTACTCGTATTCGCTATTTGTAATCTTGACAACAGGCCCTCCTTGTCATTAAGCAGAGTATGATGAGGAAAACCTGCTGTGAAAATATCAAATACGCATAGCTATGCGAGTGCTGGGATAAGACGTTCAACGCATATTGGTTAAGTATTTATACGTATAAAATTGTTTTAACACGTTAAGTCTTCTTTTAGGCCAGTACAGGCCTCGACTAGCTTCTAAAATCACATTTTCTCCCTGATATCAATAATTTTGTTTAAATTGTAATTAATTGCATTAATATTACGTACAATAGGGATGATGACTATTTTTTCTTCGTTTATCTGGTAGATTATCAAAAAGTATTGAACACGTATTTTTTCTTTTTTCACGTAATATAAATATTGCAGAGATATATTGATTTAGAAAGGCGCATGACGTCACTTTTTGGTACAATTTTCACTCAAAAGTGACGTCACGAGCCATTACTCCCAAACTTTGACGCGCTATAACTTTGTCATTTTTTGGTTGATTGCCCAAAGAAAAAATATGTGTCCATTATTTTTTGAACATCTAACTGACGGACTTAATAGGATTTCGTTTGCTGTACCCCGTCATCACCCCTATTGTGAAAAGCCCGTCAAGTATATTAAGAGGGGAGGCGGGCAGTGTTTTTACTTTCATACAAACGTTCTCGACTGATTTCTCCTTGTTTTTAATCACTAAAGAATTGATTTTCATACATAAAATATAATTTTATGCATTCTGTGCTCCTATGTCTTCCTTCTTCTGATAACTTGTGTTTCAATTAAACTAGAAGCCCTCAATAATGACAAATACAAATACATTGTTATCACCACTTAAGACGTCTATTGTGGAGATTTAATAAGCATTTACAAAAAAATGCAAACATAGAGGCATAGAATAACTACTTATTATTCTATGGGTAAAATTTATTTTACATAAATCTATAATTTTCGAGGAGGAAATCGTCATGAGCCAAACTTAAAATTTTGCAATGTTTATATGCAATTTTCAGCGTCTACTACTGTTGTCCCTATCGCACGCTATTTGCCGATACGTGACAGCAATAGTTTTTTCAAATAAGTATTTCTCAAATGTCTCTCAGCTCGCGTCCGCTCTTAACACTATCTAATTATAATTAAATTTACTTTAAGTTTTTTTTAAAGATGCTTCACACCACCACAAATAAATTAAGTTTATTTCGGCACATTCACATCTCACATTACGCTATTCGTATTTGCTATTTGTTAATAAAAAAAAGCATGACAAGGATAAATACTTGTCAAAAAAAATGACAAAGTAATCTTGCGACGAATAGCCATGTGAAGCGCTAGCCTTGCCATGACAAAGTATCTTCGTCGGTGAAATGAATTCGCAAATATACATTTGTTAATATTTCGAAATCGTTTAAGCAAACGCAGAGATACAAACCAAAAAACTATTAATGACTATTAATTTCCCCACTGCCGGGCACAGGCCAGGATGGAATAGGGAGATTGGGCCAGTACCCACCACGCGGGCCCAGTGCGGATTGGCGGGTGCTAACGACTGCAGATGCAGCCGGGACCATCGGCTTAACCGGCCTTCCGAAGCACGGAGGAACGCGAGGTAGAGAATTCTTGGTCACCCATCCAATGACCGACCACTGCGAAAGTTGCTTAACTTCAACGATCGCAGCCGAACGCGCTAACCAATCGAGCTCATCGAGGACAGTTATTATCACTGCCGGAATATGACCTCATTTTGACTATAGTGCAAACCATTTTTTACTTATCCAGTACTTATCTGAACAGTTAAAGTAAGTTGGTGAAACTCATGCTTAGAGACGATAATTAATATTACATTTGATTAAAATTGAGAAAACATTTTTCTTTACTGCCAAAAAGAAATTAATGTAACAAAATGTCTCTGAGTGTAGCGGTGAGCAAGAAGCTTGGCTCTTGACATTATATAATAGGTATTAAAACATATATTAGTATATTACGAACAATATAATTGTGATGAATAGAATAGGTTAGTTGCCTATATTTTGAAAAGTAGTTAATCGTATACCTTGATGTTAATTTAACCCAAAAAAAAATATTATTTTAAATAAAAAAGTACATTAGCAATATGTATTTTGTATTTTAAAAAACTAATTCAAATTTCCCTCGAAAACGCTCTAGACTGTCATGGCGTATTGAATGACGTCACACCGTGCAAAGCAAACAATACACTGTACGCCGACTATTAAAATTATTTAGTTAAAAATGAATCCATCGTATTACAAGTACTGTATAATGTCCTAGTGTAATAGGACAAACATAAAATGCCAGGCAAATTATTTATATGCCAGGAAAAAATGGTTAGAACTTACAAGGAGGGATGGTACCTATTCATTGTTTATCAACAAATACAAGAATAATTTTGTGATGAACATTTTGATGTAAGTATTTTGCATAACATAATCTATGAAATCAAAATGTTATACAAGCCGGATAAATTATATTGCATTATATTGATGAAACAATAACAATAGGTTGAGGTTTTAGGTAAGTTGATTTAGTTTTATGGTATGATGTAGAGTCTATTTGAGAGTTCAGTATATTTATTGATAATAATAAACACTTCTTATTCTTGTTCTAGTTACCAAATGATATGCTTAATTATCTCGAGTAGCTATGCGATTAATTTTTGTTTTGGTTAAAATATTATTATTTGCTTCGGTAAATCCCAATTCCATGGATATATTAGGCTTCCTTTCAATAATTATCTGAAAACAAACTGATAAATTGTATCAAAGTAACAATAACATGAATGAGAAATCAATGAAATGTATGGAAACGGCAACCACAAGTAATGTTTTGCACGTGGTGACGTCAGTCTTTCTGATTGGTGTTTGCCGTCACGTGATCTAATGCCCATTTTATTCGAATTTATTTTCTAAAAATAATAATAATCTTTCGTTATTATGATAAATAACTTTATTTTTTGTTATCTGTATATCATAATTCATATTTATAAACTTTAACCCATTCGATTTATTGTTAGTTGACACAAGCCTATTCTAATTTCAAGGTGGGTTCACATCAAACGGTTTTATTTATTGCCAATAATCAACTCGAATCATATAAAAGTGTCCAATAAACAGTATACAACTATCTTTATTCATATTATACAGTTTAAAAAGTTGTTTAGAGAGTAACATTTTTGTCAGTCGAATAAAACATTGATATTTCATTTTATGTCGTTTCTAGGAAAGTTTATAGAAATGTTAGTAGAAATGAGCAAGTTAATACCTTAAAATTATCTTAGTCAACCTTTAAACAGTATCGATTCTGTCACGAAAACTTAAAACCAAATTTAACATCATTCTCTCCTTTTCATTCTGTAAAAAAAATCACAAGGATACACGATTGGCAATTTTAGGTTTAGGGAACCGAGCCAGAATGGACACCACTGTTTGTTTACTATTTACCTAATATTAAATACATAATGGCAGTCAGTGCTGTATTTCATATAATTCACTATCAAACGTGTAATTTTTAATTATACAATTACTTATGTTAAAATTTACTCAAATATTATTAATAAAAATAAATATATGTCAAATAATATACAAAAACACTTGAAAAGGATTTTCAAGTTTGTTATTAAAATTTAAGATGTCGTTTAAAACTAAAACTATATTAAATTTTCATAACATTGCATTTTTAATATAATATAATACCTAATTTTTGACGCTTTTTAATCCGTCATAATAGTGTTATAATGAAATCATATACATTGAACATTAAATAAAACCTCTACATTATTTTTGGTATGTTTTTAACTAAACAATCATTAGAATAGTTTACTAGAAAAAAATCCACGCGGACCACACGCACGCACATGCAGTGCATTCGCCCGGATTGCAAAGGGTGCGGGTTCGTGTCCCATCCGCTGCCTGGTCCCCATTTTTTTCTAGTAAATTTTTCTTTAGATTTAAACATCTAGCAGTTAAATGCTTAAAAATAAATAAAAACATAAACAATCATTATTTTTATTTAACATGTTATACAAAACCTTAAAGATAATCAAAATAAGAAGAAATTTCATAAGTAATTTGAGCGTTAGATGTGGTAGAGATAATCTTGTCATTTTAATATGGGTATATTTTCAATGAATTAGCTACAATTATTACACTTAAGTTTTTCAATAAATCCTATGTCTAATGAATATTTTATTGTTATTTTGCGATGATATTCAATTTTCAACCTTAATCTACTGACATTATGTGCGTTTTAGGTATAGAACGCGTTTTCAAATCACTTACATACTATTTATCCTTTACTCCAATAACAATAAGATCTGATAACATCTATCTCTGTCTTATTCGTAAAGACAGAAAGATCATTTTAGATTTATTTTGTAAAACGTGTATTAAAATTTTACCTACCTACTTCATTCCTTTCCAAAATTAAGGAAATTCAAAATACCTGTATGAATGAACCCTTTGTGAAATATTTTAAAAGCAATTATACAATCAGTTACATATTTATATGAAGTATAGTCTGTAATACGAAGAATAGTTTGTACACCCACATTATTTTTTTACACCTACAGTAATTGCGGTTGGTGTAAAAACTTCTCATCCATACCAGATTTTGAATGGATGAGTCGTAAGTTGAAAAAATGGAATTTTATAAATGTATCCTAGCTGGATGTTATGATGTTCTAATGTATCAAATACAAATGTAACTGAAACTGTAACATAATAAAGGTACTACTTTGTTAAGGTGTCGATTCTGGCATGATTCTCTAAACCTAAACTTAAATTTGACAACAGTGTATCCTTGGCATTCTCTATATAGAATGAAAAGGAGAGACTGATGTTAAATTTTGTTTTAAGTTTAAAGAATCACGCCGGAATCGACACGTATATTGTAACTAACGAGTCGTTGGCTGTATAAAAACTCGCGTGGTCTAACGAAATGATATCTCTGTTTCATTGAACTTCGTATTTTTAGTGAACAAGTACTTAATTACACCGGCACACAAAAAAAATGTCTGTACACCGGGCGCCACCTATCTACGAGCATGTTTTTCGCCCCGCTCAATATGAATTTCAAGTCAGTTTAGGCCGTCACAATTACACGAAAATCTTCGTCAATCCGGGTCCAAAAAGTTTTTATAGCAAGATAATCCCAATTTGCTTCGATTTTTGCAATTTTTGATGATTTTTTACAATTTTTTTAGATATAAAACGGTTTATGATTAAAGTACGATCGAAAATAGTATATAACAGATCAAAATACATGAGAATTATGCTTGCCTTAGATCTCAAAAATTTTTTTCTTGCCATAAAATCGAATTAAATTTTTTTGGGATTTTTTGCAATTTGATCGAAATTGAAGGCTGGACGGCCTAAACTGACTTGAAATACGTATTCAGCGGGTCGAAAAAAATACCCGTAGATAGGTGGCGCCCAGTGTACAGACAATATTCTTTTTGTGTGCCGGTGTTATTGATATAATGTGAACAAGTTTTAAAAGTATGTATGTAGGAAATGTACAGTGAACGTTCGACTGATATATAATGAATTTTTATCAGTAGTAGGGCTTTTTAACAGAATTAAAATAAAAAATATTATCTTCGCTTTTATATGAAGTTTTTCATTGTATCTAGATCAATATAGCGTGGGTAACATCAGTAAAATAATTACACGAGTCGATTCAGTTCATTCGTGTTGGTTATTTGTTAAAAGATATCTGAATATAGTGTACACTCGCGGCTTCGTCCGAGTTGATTAATGATTACTACATACTATATAATTTTCACGACAATAAGTACCCTGTCTCCTCTATTTTTATGCCAAAATTCGTCAAAATCGGTTTAGGCGAGAAAGCATACAGGTAGACAGCAAGTTAGATTCGCATCTTTATTGTTAAGCATGATCTATTTCATTTAAAGACAGACAAATTTAATTGTATTATTACGTTAAGCATTTAAAAAGACTTTTCAGATTTTCATGCGAACATCTAAATTTTAAATACTTCAATGAAACGTAAATATTTCAATTTATTTTGAAGCGATGGCATATCGTTTGTTCAATAAATGCATTATAAATGCACATACGCAATAAAAAAAATACGTGAAAAAAAAAAAATCTATGCGCGATTTTATGAACATTTTACACACTTGGAGACGAAAATTAAAATCTACTGAAATAGATAAATAAGATCATGTTACAGACTAGATTGCAAAATATGTGATGAACATTTAGAGGTGATGGTTTACTAACCAAAGAGTGATAATACAATAGTTATTCAAAGTGATGCGGTTTATATTGCAGTACTTATATTTACTTTTAAAAATTGTGACGTCTCTTTTAAAAAATAACGCTGAAAATCTAATATTAAATTCCTTTTTCTATCGCGATAAATCACGAATCAATTATCCTAACATACTTATTATAGCCTATGAAACAATTAATCTATTCAATAAAGAGTTGAACATGCGCAGACGCTGAAATCTCGACCGCCTTATGCCATTCAAGGATCGATCACCCATCATATATCTGGCCCCTGTGAACCGTGCTTAATTTTCTTAATCTCCAAATCCAAACTGTGGACGTTAGAACACTTACGTTTAGTCCACGTAAAGAGGACTCGCATCTCGCCTGCAACGCTCCTGAAAGAGAGAATTTGATTTTATAAGCAAAAGCCATTGTCAAGGTATACACTGCAGCAAGTATCCCACACATCATCATCATCAGCCTATTAATGTACCCACTGCTGGTCCACAGGCCTTCCCTATGCATGGAATAGGGAGATTGGGCCATCACCCACCACGCGGGCCCAGTGCGGATTGGCGGGTGCTAACGACTGCAGATGTAGCCGGAACCAACGGCTTAACGTGCCTTCCGATGCACGTAGGAACTCGAGATAGAAGATTTTTGGTCACCCATCCAATGACCGACCACAGCGAAAGTTGCTTAACTTCAACCATCGCAGCCGAACGGGCTAAACACCCGCGCCATCGAGTTTCCCGCTCAAATACCCTATTTGACAAGTTTTAGAAAACGATCTCACGTTATTTACTAATGTCGATGGAGTCCATAAAAAGCGGACATTTTTAATTCTGTTGTGTAATTCAATAAAAATACTAAATAAATAAGTAAATTTCCAAGTAGCCACGAAAACGTTGCTTTTGTCATTATGGCGTCTCACTAGTGAGTGACGTCACACGATTATCATTGAAACGTCAAACGATACAATGTAATGTCAATTAGACCGGAAGTTTACTAGCGTACGACGTCATTTTAGTCTTGGCCTATCCCAAGCGTTTCCGGTCAAGTGACCACGGAGCAAAATAATCATTTCTATAGTCCATTCACTTTGGCGTGAGACAAAATGTAAACAAACCATAAAATGGATACTTTTTAAGGTCACGTTTGACAAAAGCAAAGATTAAATACTATTTACATAGGAAATGCAGCGAAAATTTAAGTAAATTATTTTAAAACCTGTTACATACGTATGAATAATAAAATAAAATATTTTACATTATATTCAACGTACATTCACATCATAAATTCGTATATTTTTAATTTGCTGGTAAAAGTATTTTATCAACTTAAGTTGACATGGAAAAAGACCTAAAAACACAATCATTCCCAAACCTAAGACGTATTATAATACGATAAAATTTAAGAGTAGACATGATACAAGTATTTTACGTTGCAGTGTTGTGTTTTGTAATCGGTTGGTTTATGTCAGCCATCTTTACTCTCCCGATCAACCTGTTGACGCGAGCGTGCTTATTCAATCTTATTTGTTATATTCTTGTTATTTCCTTATTTTATTTGTTGAGTTTGTTGTTATTTTATTTACTGTTAAGTTTAAAGTTGTTTGTTTTCTTGTTAAATTGACGTTTTCGTAGCTATAGTTATGAGTGGTGAATCGGGACCAAGCTGCTCTTGTACATTTTCTTCGCCGAAGAAAAAGCGTACAAAGAGTGGACCATTGCGCTCCAACGAAAAGGAGCTCGTGATAAATGTTTTTAAACATGTTGAAGAAACCGGGCCAAAAGATTCCTATCCATATAAAAGTGATATAATCAATAAATCCGCCGAAATACTGGGCATATCACGAGCTACTGTTTACCGGTTGGTGAAGGAAAAGAAATGTACTGGCCGTATCTCATCACCTCCGCCTCTGCCATTTAAAGTATTTTTGTTGGATACATTGGACGATATGGATAAGGCTGCGATACGCCGCAAAGTCCACACATTTTTTTTAATAAGGAGATGCCCACCGTTGACAAAGTATTGCATGCTGAGAATACAGATGAAACTTTGCCCAACTTTAAGAGGACCTCTTTTTTCAAGTTGATGAAATCATTACAATTTAAATATCCGAAAGAGTGGGCTTATTGAAAGAGATGACATTTTTATGGCGCATCAAATATTTAAATAATATTCTAAAGCTCAGGAGCGAAGGTAGAACTATTTATTACACTGAAGAAACTTGGATAAATGAAGGTTAGTAAAATACAATATTAAACTACTTTATCCTGTGGGAAATTTACTTCTGAATGAAATTATATTTCCTTTTGTATTCATAAACTGATAAACTAAATTCATATTTTTTATTGTTTATCATAACAGTACTAAAATATATTAATTTCTATGCACATAATTTTATTATAATCTTTTTATAAATATTGAATGATACTTATTATTTTCATACCAAAAAATTCAAAATTCAATATCGTTTATTCAGTCTAGGCTGTTACAAGCACTTGTGAATGTCGAAAAGCTACGCCATCGGTTCGCAAAACTACGGCGGGAGACCTTGTACTGAGAAGAACCGGCAAGAAACTCAGCAAGGGCTGCTTTTTTCTCCCTGTTTTATTTCATACAGTGTCGTCCAATTGAAAGTTGACATCAAACTTGCAAACATGTGTTGAGGTCAACTTCCATCACATAATGTCAAATATGTAACAATCAATGAATTTACTAACAATAACTGCAAAGATAAGTCCCAAAATAGCAAGAAACAATTTTCAAAATAAAATGAACAAGTATATGAAAGGGAGTAAGTGCAAGGTTCTCTTCAAAACTCTTTCTATAACTGGGAGCCTTAGTTTTAATATAACTTTTGAAAAATTATCTACAAGTAAAATTACAACCAGGCCGTTTTATCATTCAAATATTGATTGACAGTATAATATCCTTTCTTAAGTAAACAATTCTTAATGTGTATTTTAAATTTATGAGGAGGCAAATCAAGGATATCAATAGGAATCTTATTATAGAAATGTATACCTTGACCCATAAATGATTTATGAACCTTCTGTAACCTGTAATTTGGTATCTTGAGTTTATTTTTATTCCTTGTATTAAAAGAATGTATGTCACTGTGTTTTAGATAATAGTTAATATTGCTTCGAACAAAAAGTATGCAATTATAAATGAATTGAGAAGCAACAGTCAAAATCCCGATTTCTTTAAATTTTTCTCTAAGAGATGTTCTAGAACTAAGTTGATAAATAGCCCTTATAGCTCTTTTTTGCAAGATAAATATAGTTTCAATATCGGCTGCTGATCCCCAGAGAATAATACCATAGGATACAATACTATGAAAGTAACTAAAGTATACAGTTCTAGCAGTAGCTACATCAGTAAGTTGTCTTATTTTACGTATGGCATAGGCTGCTGAACTAAGTTTACCAGCTAGCAGAGAAATATGAGGATACCATTGCAATTTCGAGTCTATGGTTATACCTAAGAATATCGTTGACTCAACTAAATCTAGGTTTTCATTGTTTAGTTTAATTCTAATGGTTTCGCTTCTAACATTAGGTAAAGTGAATTTAATGCATTTGGTTTTATTTGCATTTAATTTTAAGTTATTTACATTAAACCAGTGCAATACTTGTGAGAGAGCATTATTTACATCGTCAAAGTTATTCTTGTATCGGTCAACCTTAAATAATAAAGAAGTATCATCAGCAAACAATACGATCTCACACAATTTTTCCACAAAAAATGGCAAATCGTTTATGTACAATAAAAATAGAAACGGACCTAAAATCGATCCCTGGGGAACGCCCATTTTCACATAAGATCCAGATGACTTAACACCATTTACCTCTACAGTTTGAACTCTGGAACTGAGATACGATAGTAGTAAGTTTTGGGCTGCGCCTTTGATTCCATAGTGATTTAATTTTAACATCAGCGTCTGGTGCTCAACGCAGTCAAACGCCTTGGATAAGTCACAGAATACCCCAAGAACATTCTGCGACTTCTCCCAGGCTTCCATTATATGTCTTATAAGTGCAACACCCGCATCCGTTGTTGATCTACCCCTAGTAAAGCCAAATTGATTATTATGTAACAGTTTGTTCAAACTGACATGCGATAATAATTGATCTAAAATATTTTTTTCGAAAATTTTACTTAATACCGGTAATATTGATATAGGTCTGTAATTACCGGGATCATCTCTTATGCCGTTTTTGAAGAGAGGGATAACTTTACTATATTTCATAAGGTCTAGAAAATCACCTTGATCAATACACTTATTGAATATATCTGCAAGATAAGGAGCGATAACTGTTATTATACTTTTAGTAATTTTAATAGACATTCCAAACAAATCACACGTATTTTTCTTTTTAAGTGAGTTAAAGCATTTTATAATATCCATAAAATCAACATGTTTAAACGTAAACAGGTTATTACACCGAGGCACACACGTCTCTAGCAAACTCTTAGCACCCGCTGGCGTCGAATTCAAATTAGAAGTAGTGATTAATGGTATATTAACAAAATATTCATTAAAAGTATTGGCAATCTGTTCTTTTGTTTTAATTTGAATATTATCTACTTTAAGTGCGATCCCATCATCGAGGGTTCTTTCTTTACCAGTTTCTCTATTAATAACATTCCATGTCGTTTTAATTTTATTATTAGATTTTATGATTTTATTTTTTATGTAATTGGATTTGGCTGTTGCACATACACTTTTGAATGTTTTTGAGTACCTTTTAACATAATCAATGAAACCCTGAGAGTGATTGTACTTCCTTAAGTAGTACAAATCATAAAGTTTATTTCTGCTCTTGTAAATACCAGACGTAGCCCAGTCACAGAAGTTCAACTTTTGAGTTAATTTCAAAGATTTAAGCGGAAAAGCCTTATCGAATTCTTTCTTAACCAAAGTGAACATATTGCCGTAAAGAATATTAGGATCCTCATGTGTCCATGGCATTAGAAACATTTTATCATCAATATTGTTTTGAAAATTTTCTAAACGTTTATTTGTTACTGGTCTTAATTCAATGAATTTGGGCTTAGTAGTGTCATTTGTATTATATGTTATTTTTAAGCCGTAATGATCTGATGTGATACAATTAATAATTGATTTACTAACTGGATTATAATCAGTAAATATATTATCCAAACAAGTAGCTGAATGAGATGTTACTCTAGTAGGCTCAAAAAATTGATGTACCAAATTAAAACATTTGAATAGTGATGTTAGGCGAATTGACATTGAATTATTTTCAAGAATGTTAATATTGAAGTCACCAACTACAATCAAAAACTTATTTTTAGACTTTAACTTTTTTAGAACATTCTCCATCACTGATTCAAAAACACTAATGTTGCCTAGAGGGGG